TGAAAGGACAATTATATATTCTGATAGCGCTTGAAATTCCCTATCTTTCTATATATTTGTTTACGCTCTCACATTTATGTATTATAAAAATAATATAAGAACAATGAAGTCATCTCAATTGATAATTTCGAAAAAATCCACAACTTTTCGCTATTATTTTCGTGATTTTCTCCAATTTAGCATTCATCAACGAGAATGTTTGAATACTACTCGGTTTACTATTCAACAGATATATAGGACAAAAGGAAAATACATAGGGCGATAGAGAATTTGAAGCTCTATCAGAGTGCATAATCATTTTTATAAAACATAATTTTCTTTGTATTTGTAGTTCGAAAAAATATGCCACACATGATTCTTTTGAAATTGTCAATTGAGATGACTTCATTGTTCTTATATTATTTTTATAATACATGAATATGAGAACGTAAACAAATACATAGAAAGATAGGGAATTTCAAGCGCTATCAGAATATATAATTGTCCTTTCAAAACAATCATTCTATAATGATGCAAAATCTAAAAAACTTAATTTGATTACAATGATAAAATCATGTCTGTGGAAACATGGACATAAGAATATCTTTATTATACTCAACTTATATTGATCATTCAAAAGTGAAAAATAAAATACAAATATACGGGTTGGTAGAGAATTTCACACGCTATTCAAATATGATATTAGTCGTTTCAAAATATACTGTTATAGTAACGATATACCCAAAAAATGCAGTGTCTAAATTTTGCTTTTCAGGAATATATAGATTTTCATAAAAATATCAGTTGATATTTTTCATTCAGTCAGAGTTTGTTTTTGGCGATTTGGGAACATTTCATTTTCGTTTGTTTTTTCAAATTACCTTGTCTTCATTGAAATGAAAAATGAAATAAAAGTTTGTCAAATAAAAAATGTCTTTTGTGAACAGAAAAAAGTTTCACTTTTCTTGTACATTTTGTACACTTTGTCACAAAAAACAAAGTGTATAGATACATTGTGTTCTAAAAAACATAGCGTACGATTACATTCTATTTCAGATTCTCATTAAAAATACTGGATGTGACATCAATTAATGATTCATTACTTAATATAGCTCCAACCGACTTAAAGCAATTGTTAATCTTATCGATTCTTGTATTTGTTATGGTGCTGTCATCGACATCACGTTCAAACGAACCTCTCAAAACAACACTATTATTATCTTATTTCTGGCATTGAATATGATGTCTTTTATGGATTTCCTGGAAACTCATTCGAATCCTAGCAGACTTGACTAATGTACAGATGCAGAAGGTATAAGAGGTACAGCAGGTGTGAGAGGTATAGAAGATATTGGAGATATTGGAGATCGAAGATATGTTGGAGATATAGGAAGCGTTTGAAGTAAAGCATGAGGACGGAAACACATACAGAGGGCATCTCTCTCATTGAGAGTGAAGGTAAAGGCACATACAGAGGGCATCGCTGGCACTGAGAACAAGGACGAAACCTACGTCGCATATATCTCCAACATTTCCAATGTCTCCAACATCTCCTATATCTTCAAACATCTCCTCTGCCTGCTATACCTCGTTTACCTCTTCTATTTCCTCTGCCTCCGGTAGTGCCTGTACATCTAATACCTCCTGCATCTCTACTAATTCCTATATCTGCGATGTTAGAACTTTAATGGATCTCCAGGAAATCCATAAAAAAACATCTAATCGGGCATTGCGTCATGATAAATGATGAATGTAAGCTTATAGTTAAATTGATATTATTGAAAATGTTACCAATTCATCAATTTCATTAACAATTAAAGTATTGTTAGCATTTAACGTGCGATATGATCTAATTTTTTTTAGCAATTTTTATTCTTGAATATAAATGTTATTTAAATTTACGTAATACTCGGTGAATATTATCCAATTACTTGTTAATAGCCGATCTTTATTTCGGAGCTTTGTACTTAATAGAGAAGGAAAGAAAAAGAGTCTTCTATCCCATTACTACGTCTCATTTCTAGAACCACAAAATATAGTCAATGCTTCGCTGATGTACATCGTAGTAAATAGACTCAAAACACACAATTTTTTGTTTCTTTATTTTCATCAACAGACAAGTAGAAGAAATATTAAGGAAGCAGTTTGTTTTTCGTTGATCATAGATAATACAAAATCATACAGATTAAAACAAAACAACAACAGAGGGAATATAATAAACCATAAACTGATAGAATAGAAATGTGTTACATTTCTTAAAGAAAAAACAGCTTAACCGTTCTTTCGAAAATCACCATAGGTAAGAAGTGTACCTTTTGTTGTTTCTGTACTTCTGACATACGACAGTACACTTTGTCCTATATTGCGTTGTAATTGGCTTCTTTCAAGTAGCAGATGTTTTTCAGAGTTTTGATAGCACATTTTGGTCCAGGTGTATTTTACAATAAAAAAAGTGTATGAAAATAAACGAGATTCAAAACAGCATATAGATATCAAGTTGAGAAATTTTCGTATAGGATGAAGGTAAGAATCAGTGTAAATAATACTACCTCCTCTGGTATAGAGATAGGACCGTTTCATATTAATTCCGATATTAAAGCCTTTTCAAAAGTTTCTGTGTATTACAAATGAAACCGACACCGAGATCGACTGAATTAATGTCAATGTGCCGTATCTTTTCTCTTGGCTTTATTAGAGACATGAATTAATCTGACTGAGGTTGAAGATAAGAACGAAAATTTCATCGTTGATTTATGTCGATCAAAGTCACATTTTTTTGAAAAATGAAACTTTATTGATTCATGAATAAAAATAATAAATCGAGAATTTTTTTCGTCGAATATATTTCTGCTGCAATTCGATTTATTAATAAATTTCCATAAGAACAAAATGACTAGATTATTTGATATTATAAAATAAAACAAAAAATACATTCGTAAAGATGCTAAACGAGTTGTACTCAACATTTTTTGTTCATCTGTTATACCTGATAGAAAAACAAATGTTGCCCATGAAATACTAGTAAAAAAATGATGATCTAATAAAAATTTATATCCATCTTTTTGATAATCTGAACACAATCCATATAAATGTTGATATTGTATTTCTTCCGAAATAACTGAACGACATGTTTGTAAAAGATGATGACCAATTCTTTGATGTTGATAATTTTTTGTAACAAATAAATGTGTTATTAATGCTGATTGTCTTTTCGAATGGATGAGAAGAAAAACAAATAAATCCAACAATATCTTGTTCATGCATAACATTATCATCTTCAACGGTTAAAATAGCAACAAGTATATGTCGACGTGATAATTTTTCTGTATATTCAATAAATGAATGTTGAAACGGTGTTTTAATTTTGTAATATGATAATTAATAAATGAAGTTATTAATACGGGAGGTATGAAAAATGAAATAAGAAGACGAGAAAAAATAAATATTGCTATAATAATACAGATAAGAAGAAGAATAAATGTAAATCGATTACGAAAACAAGGACGACATATCGGTGCGAGAATTCCAATAAGTTTTTCGGTACATAAATGTTGAACATCAAAACAATCAGATAGAGAAAAACCACGGATATAATAAGATGTGCCACCAGATTTTCTTTTTAAAATTGGGGTTTTTATAGCTGCACGAGGTTCTATACTTTTCTGATCAATTCATATGAATATTCTCTAAAAGATTAAAGATAAAATAATTGATTTCTGTAACGAATTAATAACAGATCTGAGACCCATTGCAACCAGTTTCTCTTCTTAAAATTTGATAAGATGAACATCCACATGCCTTCTGAAGACTGTACAAGATACAGAATATCCACTTTGTTGTTTATTAGAACAGTACAAAATCACAATTTTTTCTACTTTGCTACTTATTTAATGTTGTAGATAAGTGATAATTAGGGCTGTCACTTTCGTGTTCCGTTCCTAGGAATCCGAAACGCATAACAGTCTCACATAAAAAGATAAAGAAAAAAATTTGAACACGTTGGTATGTTTGAAAAATGCTGGAAAAACAAAGGGGGAAGAAGCTGAGGTTTTTCAGATTTTTGATGTGAAAACCTCAAAAAACTTCGCTTTTCCCCCGTTGAATTTCACTCAAAGCCTCAGTTTTCGGTTTTTTGCCCCTTGTACAAAACGCAGTATGAAATGCGTTCTCGTTCCTTAACAAAGAAACTATCAAGAATAAAAACTGCAAACCCATAGCGATAATCGATCATGGGTAATAGTAAGATACGTCGGCACCAATAGTGTGAACCCACCATCACCATCAACCTTGCCCTGACACCCGTACTCTCACTTGTAAACCATTTCCCAATGAGATTTCAGACGTAACATATGATGACACTACTAATGTCGACGTATCCTACTAACACCTCGGTCACGTGCACGATATACACCACTTAAGTCTCACATCTGGTTGTATCCGTATAAGAGTTGATCAAGCAGCACCTCAAGATTTCTCGAAGTACATGTGATTATCTCGATAACTTTATCTGTTTTCTGGTATATGTGAAGGTTCTCTAGGATGTAGCTAAATCGATCACACATTTCACAAAAAAATGACAATAGAAAATTACCATAATTTATTTAGCCCTTTGGGGACGGGATTACTTTTGAGAAAAAAACAACTTTTCGAAAATCTGAAACAATATTTTTGCTAGAAAGAACATGAATAAGAGTGCAGTACAGTGGGTAGTGTAGCACTACTTTGACGGTTACAGATTCATGACCGGCACTACCATTTTTGCCATTAGAGTATCGTAAGAGACATTCTTAAGTAAAAGAGTGCCTGGATGAGAACTGCAGCACATATATGTGCTTCCCGTTCCCAAAGGGTTAAATGATTCTTGAATATGGTAAAATATCAATGAAGAATGACTTATATCTAAAAGTTAATGATCGAATAAGATTTTAGACATTAGATAAGATATTTATTGAAATTCAACGAAAAAAATCCACTTTTCCTATGATACACACTAAGTAGTTTATTTGATTTTTTTTTCTTATTTAATTTGAATCTTTAGGTACAGGATCATTCAGTGAATAAACAGTTGAATTTAAAACATCAACAATACGATTTAAAAATGAATAAAGCTTTTCACTTGATTTTTCACGTTGTTGTTTTTGTTTTTCAAGTATGATACGAAGTGTTTCACATGCTTGATGTGGACGTAATTCATTGATTAAATAATGAATATTAGTAAAAAGTAATTCAATTTCATTTAATTTTTGTTCACGTAATGTAATATTTCCACTATCTGGACTTGGTGTTACAGGTTAACGTGAAACAATTTGTAATAAATCAAGATAATTTGTTAGTATAGCAAAACATAATTTTATTAATTCACCTTTATAATCATCAGAACGTGTATCAACACGTTGAATTTGTTGTGCTGCTAAAGGATGAATAATCGGTTCAGAATTATCGATACCATTAACATAGACACCGAACAATTCATACGGACCCTAAAATACCAAAAAATCAAGAAAAGAGTGATTAACATAAAGAAATTTTTACTTCAATGGGTGGTGGTGGTGGTTGTAATATTTTATTATTTTGACGAATATTATCATCACTAAATAATTCAATATAACCCATTGGTGGTAATGGAAATGCACTACTCAAAAGAGGTGGCAGATGCATGAATGAAATATTATCTGAAATAATATACGCAAGATAATAAGTTATGTTTCTTCATCGCCATTGTTCTTAAGCATATATTGATTGGAAGTTTACCTACTGTCACTACGTGCAGCACTGTAATATAAGCGGCACATAGCATGGAACAATATCGTTTTGTATGAAATGAGTAATGTGAATCCCAATGTCTGATAGAAAAAAACACAAAAACTAAAGGCGACTATAACTTACAGGTCGATTTTTTTACTAAAGAACAGGATATATGTAGGTTTGTAGAGGAGAACATCCTCTATCCAATAGTGTATATATTATCAAATTCTGTTGCGTACTATGAGAGAGTAAATTTTGACTTCGTTTTACACGATTTTGATGTTGGTATAAGCTATATTTAAGTCAAAGTGGTATAGACTCAAGCAGAATTCATCCTTTCACGGTACGCAACAGAATTTGATAGTATACATATTACTGGATAGAGGACGTTTTCCGCTACAACTCTACATATATCTCGTATTTTGGTCAAACTGTTATAGTCGCCTTTTCTGATAGTCACTTAAGTCTCTTTTACATTCGATATTAACTCATAGGTTCCAAACACAGCAGTTAACCTTCGCAGTTCTTAATAGGGATGCACTAATTCCAATTCCGGCCAATTCTTGTAATTGGAATTGGTGCATTTCTATATGTGAATGTGGTGGAGGTAAATTACCAGGTTGATGTGGATTGACATGTCGAGACATTGAATCTGGTTGACTTAACATACGATGATGGAGATGTATGTCCTAGAAGAAAAACAAAGAATTTGAAATTACACTTTAAAAGAAAACAACGTACTTGAGATTGCATATGAGGTAGTGGCAAATTTCTATGATCCACTGGTCGTGACATATGTCCTAAATTTGAATTTTTTGATGATTTTTTTGATCTTTGATTGACTGATAAATTACATGGTGGATTTGATGATTGTAAAGTTTCACCAGATGAACTTGCATATGTTGTATATGATGATGTTTTATTATTGATTGTTGTTTGACGATTTTGGTATGTTAGTTTAACACAATAAGAAATTTTTGATTTATAAAATGATCCCATGTCGCCACTTTTTTAACAACTGCGTCGCAGTTACGCGAAGAGCCAATTCTGCGTCGCAGTTACGCGCAACTGCGATCGATTGCGACGCAGTTACGCGTAGATGCGAAAAAAATATCGCAGTTACGCGTAGCTGCGTCGCAATTTTCCGCAATTACGGGTCACAATGCGATCGCAGTTACGCGTAACTGCGTCGCAGTTTGATCGCAGTCGAACATATGGGATACTAAATCGTTTATTTTATCAAATTCACTAGATTAAAAAAATTCTTTTTTTTTCCTAAAAGTGTTTTCTATAGCAACGTACCCATTCGGTTTTATGTATTGATTAATTCCGACAAAAAATTGAAATGGTTGTTTTCCGTAGTCCTAAAAGTAAAAGACCTATAGTTTCACTAACATGTCGATTGAAATGTTTACCATTCATATGTGTAATTCTTCTTCCTTCAATTTAAATGTACATTTGATGTTACTCGATTCATTATTGTTGTAATTAATTTCTAATGTATTATTTATTTTTTTACTCCATGGAATTGTTTCATTATGCTAAAAAAATATATAACAATCAAGATTTAATTGAGAAAATTTTCCTTACTTCATGATTTCCGAACACTTTATATTGAGCCGAAATCACAACAACATGAAATATAACAATTAATTTTTCATAATTTTCTTTACAATCATCGCTGTACATATCTATTGCACGATATACATCTGACAATTGTGCCATTTTCTAAAAAACAAGTTCGTGTGAATATGTGTATTAAGAAGATGATGTAAGATATCTATTCTAACTGCACAATACGAAAACTAGAGCAAAATATGACATAAGAATTTCATTGATTCTTACGGACGAAGAAAAGAAATGACCTAGATATGTATAAAATGACAAAATAGATAATCCCTAAGGAGAGAAAGAGAAGAGAGGAGAACAGAAGAAAAAAAGACGTGCACAGAAACATACATGCCTATATACCTACGGAATATGAATACGTCATGCTAGAGTACTTTCTAACAAATTAGAGACCGTTTACGTATTACGTCGTCACTTTTTGTCAATTTTTAGACTCCTTCACTATGTCATCAGTTGTCATTTTTCCGTGACACCCTTCTCCTATATGTCATCATCAGTACCATATTTTAGCACCTTATATAGTCAAAAATAACCTATTCAATAAATTTCGAAATGGCATATAACGAGTTTGACTGATGATGAGAAATATTGATTCTAATATCAATTAGTTAGTTTCTATGCAGTCATGGTTATTTCGGTCATTTTCTGTTTGTGTAAGTCATCCAACTCCGTACTTAAAGGTAAAATTCGAGAGCAAATACCTTTGTCTCGATGCACATATAGATAGTATAGCTGTTTATATAACTTTGAAAGGAGTGAGACAAGTGCACTTTTTCAGAATTAAGATGAAAATTTCTCTTTAAAATAAGTACCAAATCTGATGAAGATCGAATGAAGAGCCTAGAAACTGCTCTTCTGTCTTCCCTCCTTCCATATTCACTTTCAGCAAGTGAAAGTAAAAAGAAGTTAAGGCTAAACAAGTAACACTCACTCATAATAGAAATATCTCGAAGATGATTCTCATATTTCTGAAAGTATCTTTTATCGGTTTTTGCCGGTGCTTGTTCAACTCTAGTCAGAACTTATCAATGCAAGAATTTACATGATTTACTTTTTCTCGTTTAGAAGGTGTGGGTGTGGGTGTGGGTGTGGGTGTGGGTGTGGGTGTGGGTGTGGGTGTGGGTGTGGGTGTGGGTGTGGGT